TTTTAAAAAGTGCTTATATAAAACAAAGCTAAAAGCTGTTAGGAAAATATTATCAGCCCAAAATAGATTTCTAAGGCAAAAGGCATCATTAAGCATAATGATGAAAGGAGTAATTCACCAGGAAGAAATAATAATCTTGCCCCTGTATTTCCAAATAACATCAAAGTATATAAAGCAAAATTTACATACTAAAATTAAATGGATTATCTACAGATAGAGCAGGAAGTTTTATAGGAAATTTTCTTCAAAAGACAATAGACAGCCAAAACTGGTTTGGCTCAGTGGTAGAGCGTCGGTCTGCGGACTAAAAGGTCCCGGGTTCCATTGTACCTTGGTTGTGGGCGCATCCCTGGTGGGGGGTGTGCAAGAGGCAGCTGATCGATGTTTCTCTCTTATTGATGTTTCTAACTCTCTATCCCTCTCTCTTCCTCTCTCTAAAAAATCAATAAAATCTATATATTTTTTAAAATGTTATTTTGCCAAGGTCTGCTATTGGAAAAACCTCTGTTTTTTAATATTACGCTGTTACAACCCCTCATCTTTTAAAAACACCTCTATATTGTAAAGTATAGCTAGGTAGAGAAATTTCACATAAAAGAATTATTATAAAAGTTTAGAATTATTACTAAGATTGGTATTGTAATACCAACCAGTCAAGAAATAGAACTTAGCCAGCCACTGCAGAAACCTTTTATATGCCCCATTCCAGTCATAACTCCATCCTTCCCCTCCTCCCACCACCACCACACACAGCCACCAAAGAAAGCATTCATATGATAATCATTTTCTGGCCTTTTTAAAGTAATTTTAATGTCCAAGTGTACGTTAAACAGAATGCTTTAGTTTTGCTTATTTTTTCTTCATGATTTCCCATGCAATTTATTAATTTTCTAGCTCTCTCTCCCTCTCCATGTCTCTCTGTAAAAAATCAATAAAATGTTTTTTTTAAAAGAGTATGTGCCGAAACCAGTTTGGCTCAGTGGATAGAGCATCAGCCTGCAGACTGAAAGGTCCCTGGTTCTATTCCGGTTAAGGGCATGTACCTTGGTTGCTGGCACATCCCCAGTAGAGGGTGTGCAAGAGGCAGCTGATCGATGATTCTCTCTCATTGATGTTTTTAACTCTCTATCCCTCTCTCTTTCTCTTTGTAAAAAATCAATAAAATATATTTTTTTAAAAAGAATATACTTTTTTAAAAAAGAATTCTTTATAATGATATAAAGAATGTGTATCGCCGGCACCGGTTTGGCTCAGTGGTAGAGCATCGGTCTGCGGACTGAAAGGTCCCGGGTTCGATTCCGGTCAAGGGCATGTACCTTGGTTGCGGGCACATCCCCAGTAGGGGGTGTGCAAGAGGCAGCTGGTCGATGATTCTCTCTCATCGACGTTTCTAGCTCTCTATCCCTCTCCCTTCCTCTCTGTGAAAAATCAATAAAAATATATTTAAAAAAAAAAAAAAAGAAGAAGAATGTGTATCATTAAACCACACACACAAAACACTGTATATTTCGGTTTTTAAACTTACTGTATATTAAAGATAGTTCCTTATCAATCTATATAGAACTGCTTTATATCTTGTAATTACCACTTAATAGTTTATTGTATAGCTAGGCCATCATTTATTTAATAGACACTATTGAACATTTAATTGTTACCTTTTAGTATTGGAAACAGTATGCAATGAAAATCTTGGTCCATACTACATTGCCCATAGGTGTGAATATAGCTGAATTAATTCCTAGAAATGCAATTGCTAAGTAATAATAGCTATTGCCAAATTGCTCTTCTTAGAGCAATTAAGAACTCTTTTTCCTTCACATTATTCTTTCATAATACTAATATGTGACCAAATTTTATCTTTCATAATTTGTTATGTGAAAAATATCTCATTTTTATTCGCATTTCATTTCTCGTTTCTTAATTCTGAATTATCTGCTCATGTCCTTACCTTGGCCCAATTTTCTATTGAATTATTGATCTTTTCCCTATTTATTTGTAGACAAAGAAATTATTACCCATTTGTGTGACATTTGTTGTTTTTTTCCTAATTGTGTTGCTTCTTTTAACTGTTTAAGGTGTTGATTTTCCAAGCAGAATTTTTAATCAACACTTAACAAAAGAGGAAAGTGCAAATTAACTCTACCTTTGTGACGCCCACCAGCCAATCAGGAGTGTGTATGCAAATTAACCCTACAAAGATGATGGGTTAATTTGCATACACAGGCCACCCGATGGGGTAGGCGGGAAGCTTGCATCATTGCATGGTGACAATGCAGGTGTTCCACATTGCCCCAGCAGCTCCGGGCCTCTGGGCAACATAGGAAGTCGGAAAGGCAGCTCTGGGCCGGAGCGAAGGCGGTGCTCTTAGCCAAGGAAAGGAAGGCCCATTCTTGCACAAATCTTTGTGCATCAGGCCTCTAGTGTTTTATATATTACTCAAATGTATTAGTTATTTAAAAACAATATAACTTAGAAAAGAGTTTTTTCCCCTGATTCTTTCTAGAATTATGGCCAACCTATTATCCTCTCACCTCCTAATTTTTAGTCTGTATTTGTTACAAAAAATGATATTATTCTAATAAACATACTATAGCTATAAAAGTCAGAAAGTTATCATTGACACATTATTGTCTTCTAATCTTTAGACCCTGCATTTAAGTTTCACTATTGGTCCTAATAGCCACATTTTAGCAAAAAGGATCTAATTCAGATCCACACATTGCATTTAGTTGCCGTATCTCTTTAGTATCCTTCATTTGTGAACTGTTCTTCAGATTTTCCTTGACTTTCATAACTTAGACAGTTTTGAAGATGACACAAAACAAATTAGAACAAATTTGGTTTGTCTAATGTTTCCTCACAATTTCGATTTAGGTCATGCTACAGGAATATAGCTGCTATCAGGTGGCACACTGTTTCAGTTCCTACTAATGATGATATTCACTTAGATCTCTTTTTTTTTTTTTTTTTTTTTTTTTTTTTTTCTTTTTTTTTTCTTTGACGTGCGACAACCTTTATTGCTGAATGCCTCCAGGAAGCCTGGCTGGTGGCCCCGTGCCATGTGGGAGTCCTGGGTGAGGCTGGGGGTGCAGTGACCACTGCCCCACCTCAGAGGGTGGGGCATGTGCTGGGTGGGAGGTGCGGGGTACAGAGGGGCCGGCCATCACTTAAATCTCTTGATTAAGGTACTATCTGATTGACATCTTTACTATAGAGTTACTGTTTTCCCCTTTCTAAAGTTTTTTTTTTTTTTTAAACATCTCATTCTTTATCAAACTTTCCATTCATTTATTTATAGCTGTGTGAATTTATGGGTTGCTTGTTCATTCGGTGGGTTATAATTCCTTTACTATCATGTATATTGATGCTCAACATAATTTTGTTAGTGGGTGAGTATTCAGGCTGACTTCTGTGTCCTTTTGACATGTCCTCATCATTCTTTTAGCACTTTCTTATTTCTACCACAAGGTATTTCAGGCTCATCTTGTATTTCCCCCAATCTGGAATCTATCATTTCTCCAAGGAACCTTTATTTCTTTTATAGAAAATATTATTCAGCCCTGTCCGGTTTGACTCAGTGGGTAGAGTGTCGGCTTATGGACCAAAGAGTCCCAGGTTTGATTTCTGTCAAGGGCACATACCTCAGGCTCCTCCCCAGCCTGGTTCCTGGTCTGGGCTAATGCAGGAAGCAACCAATCGATATGTTTCTCTCACTTCGATATTTCTGTCTTTCCCTTTCTCTCTAAAAAATAAATCAATGGGAAAATATCCTTGGGTGAAGATTAAAAAAATAAGAAGCCCAGCCAGTTTGGCTCAGTAGATAGAGTGTTGGCCTCTGGACTGAAGGATCCTGGGTTCGATTCCTGTCAAGGGCACTTGCCCAGGTTACGGACTTGATCCCCAATAGGGGGCGTGCAGGAGGCAGCCGATCAATGATTCTCTCATCAGCAAATGTTTGTATCTGTCTCTTCCTCTCTGAAATCAATTTTTTTTTTTAATTTTCTTTTTTTTAAAGAAGAAAATGCTATTCAGAAACCAAGCTCCAACTGCTACTCACGTTCATTGGTATTGGAATGTCACTGCTTCTAGGTTCTCTCACCAGTCTTCCAGGTCTACCATCCCCATTGCTATGCAACACCCTTTTCCACTCCTCTGTCTGACTCTTCATTCCAGGGCTACCCTACCTTCCACGCAGACTTCTTTTTCCCCCCTCTTCAACTCCAAGACCCCATGCCTGACCACTCTATATGTGGATGCTCTTTTCATTCTTCTTGGTATCTGATATTTTATACCTACCTGTCCCTCTGTCAGCATTGTCCTTAGTCACCTGACTTTGACTCTGACTCCCCTTGCCTGGTTGCCCTTCCCATCCCTCTTGGGCTCTAACCATGACTCACTCCCCTTCTTTCAAGCCCCTCATCAAGTGAACATCCTCCTCACCTGTTGTTGTTGTTGTTTTTTTAATGCCTCCCAAGTTTTATGTCATAACCTTGAAAGAACTTCTCTAATGTAATGAAAAAAAATTTTTTTTCCTATTTTCTTGTGATTTTGTTTCCTTTTTTGTATTTAATTATATGGTGTATTTGGGGATTTATTTTGAAATAAAATAAAAAGCCAACATTTCATTTAGATGATTATCATCCAGTTAGCTAGAGTTCTATATAAAAGTTGTATTTCCCACCACCACAAAAAAAAATGTTTGGAAGTTTTTAAAAAGTTCACTGTAGCCCTAACCGGTTTGGCTCAGTGGATAGAGCGTCAGCCTGTGGACTGAAAGGTCCTGGGTTCGATTCCGGTCAAGGGCACATGCCCGGGTTGGTGCTCAATCCCCAGTAGGAAGTATGCAGGAGGCAGCTGATTAATGATTCTCTCTCATTTATGTTTCTGTCTCTCTTCTCTGAAATCAATAAAAATATATTTAAAAATAAAAAAATTTACTGCATCCATAGAGCTCTTTTTTTAATAGATATCATTTTTCATATTGCTTTTGTTTATAACAGATGATGATGTACCTGCAGATATGGTTGCAGAAGAATCAGGTCCTGGTGCACAAAACAGTCCTTACCAGCTTCGTAGAAAAACTCTTTTGCCGAAAAGAACAGCGTGTCCTACAAAGAGCAATATGGAGGTAAATTAAGTGTCACTGCTTTTCTTTTAATAATGAAAGAATTATTAGGAAACAAACAAAAAAGGAAAGAGAATGTCATCATTTTTTAGAAGTAAATAAAAATACTTGCTTAATTTTAATTTTGTTTTTGAAGGGTGCCTCAACTTCAACGACAGAAAACTTTGGTCATCGTGCAAAACGTGCAAGAGTATCTGGAAAATCACAAGATTTGGCAGGTATTTCCTATGGGAAAACTAAGGAACAGGGTTAAGTAACTTTTTATTTTGTTTGATACCACAATATTAAAATTAAATTAAATGCACTTTAGTATTACATTTGGGATTGAGAAAGTGATGGTTATAGAACTAGAAGCCCAATATATGGATTCATGCACCAGTGGGGTCCCTCAGCTTGGCTTGTGGGATTGGACCGAAACCCATAGTCTAACGCCTTCTGGCACCCATCAGTCAGCTAAGCCGCTCCTGCTGTGGGATTGCACTGACCACCAGGGGGCAGCTCCTCTCATTTAGTGACTTAGGCTTTTATATATATATATATAGATAGATAAACATGACAACTCTGACCTCTCCTCTTTGACTTTATTATATAAAAACACCTTGTATTGCCCTAGCTAGTTTGGCTCAGTGGATAGAGTATCAGCCTGTAGACTGAAGGGTCCCAGGATTGATTCTAGTCAAGGGCACATGCTCAGGTTTCGGGCTCAGTGATCCCCAGTGGAGAGCATGCAGGAGGCAGCTGATCAGTGATTCCCTCTCATCATTGATGTTTCTGTCTTTCTCTCCCTCTTGGTTCCTATCTGAAATCAATAAAAATATATTTAAAAAATAAAAACACCTTGTGGCCCAAATGGTTTGGCTCAGTGGATAGAGCATATGCCTTGGACTAAAGGGTCCCAGGTTTAATTTTAGTCAAGGGCCTTTTCTCCAGGTTGCAGGCTCGATCCCCAGTAGGGGATATGCAGAAAGCAGCCAATCAATGATTCTGTCACCATTGATATTTCTATCTCTCTCTCCCTCTCCCTTCCTCCCTGAAATCAATAAAAATGTTTTAAAAACATAAAATATGCCTTGTGCCCTGGCCAGTGTTGTAAAGTGGTTAGAGCGTTGGCCTGCCCAAGGAAGGACTGGATTCCCAGTCAAGGATGCACATATTTGGGTTGCAGGTTCAATCCCATCAGGGCTCTATGAGAGGCAACTCAGTTGATGTGTCTCTTTCACATTGATGTCTCTCTCCCTCCTTCCCTACCTTCTACTCTCTAAGGGGGGGAGAGAGGGAGAGGGGAACCAATGGGAATAAAATATTCTCAAGTGAGAATTAACCCAAAAAATAAAAAACCTTTTGTATATTTTCACCAGTTTCTGAAATGGTACATAATAGCTTAAGAGAATACTTAATGTCAAGATAAACAAAACTAAATGTGTCATCTATGAAAGAAAATGTTTATAAAATGATTGTCACCCTAGTCAGTTTGGCTCAGTGGAAGGAGCGTCCACCTGTGGATTGAAGGGTCCCAGATTTAATTCCGGTCAAGGGCACATGCCTGGGTTGCAGGCTCAGTCCCCAGTGTGGGGATTGCAGGAGGCAGCCAATCATTGATTTTCTCTCATCATTGATGTTTCTCTCTCTCTCCTTCATTCCTCTCTGAAACCAATAAAGGTATATTAAAAAAGGGATTTATCATCACAAAATAAAAGCTATTGGTTAAATAAAATGAAAATTATGCTTTTTTATTTATTTTACTTTTAATCCTCACTCAAGGATATGTTTTTATTGATTTTAGAGAGGGGCTGGCAAGAAAAGAAACAGAAAAAACATTAATTGGCTGTTTCCTTTATGTGTCCTAACCTAGAATCAAGCCCACCACTCTTCTGTGCACAGGACAATGCTCCAATCAACTGAGCTACACTGGCCAGAGTGAAAATTATGCTTTTTAAATAATGGGGAAGTCATTACTAACACGATAAATAAGTTGTTTATATTTTATTTGTTAATCTCTTTATAGCAGCACCTGCTGAACAGTATCTTCAGGAGAAATTGCCAGATGAAGTGGTTCTAAAAATCTTCTCTTACTTGCTGGAACAGGATCTTTGTAGAGCAGCTTGTGTGTGTAAACGCTTCAGTGAGCTTGCTAATGATCCAATTTTGTGGTAAGTGAAATTTTATTTCTTATTATCTTGAGATATATTATTTGGTGCCCAAAATGCCTGAAATGGTAGGGAGATTGAAGTGTTAATTATAATTAAATAAGAATAAAATTAGATTGCTTGTAAATTTTAAGTTACCTGTTTATCACAAATGTGAGTTGTCACATTAGGTGATATTTATAAAACAATAAGTGAAGTGCTTTCTCTGCTATTTATCAGTAAATAGCAGTTGAGTGTGTAAAATGTTTTTCATTTAATTGCTTTTAAAAAACAGAACTAAGCTGAAACCGGTTTGGCTCAGCGGTAGAGTGTCGGTCTGTGGACTGAAAGGTTCCGGGTTCGATTCCGGTCAAGGGCATGTACATTGGTTGTGGGCACATCCCTGGTGGGGGGTGTGCAGGAGGCAGCTAGTCGATGTTTCTCTCTCATCGACGTTTCTAGCTCTCTATCTCTCTCCCTTCCTCTCTGTAAAAAATCAATAAAATATATTTTTAAAAAAAAAAACAGAACTAAGTCCCAGCCGGTGAGGCTCAATGGTTGAACATTAAACCTATAAACCAGGAGGTCACAATTCAATTCCCTCGTCTGGGCATATGCCCAGGATGTAAGCTTGATCCCCAGTATAAAGGCATACAGGAGGCAGCCGATCAATGATTTTCTCGCATCATTAATGTTTTCTGTCTCTTCCTCTCCCTTCTTCTTGAAATAAATATAAATATATGTGTGGGTTTTTTTTGCAAACTAAGGCTCCTGGCCGGTTTGGCTTATATAGAGTGTCAGGCTGTGGACTAAAGGGTCCCAGGTTTCTTTCCAGTCATGAGCACGTGCCCAGGTTGCAGAATCAATCCCCAGAAGGGGGTGTACAGGAGGCATCTAATTGGTGATCCTTGTCATTGATGATTCTTCTTTCTCTCTGAAATCAATAAAAATGTATTTTTAAAAAAAAACACAGAACTAAGTAATTTAAAACAGCTAACTAATTAAATTTGATAGGTTAGTGAGAATGTGAATTTTATATATCACTTTTGGAAAATACTTGGATAGTTTATATTTATAACCTTGAAATATGCATGCCCTTTGACCCAGTAATTCCACTTCTGAAAATTTTTTGCCTTACGTACAAATTTTTCATAATGTCATAGTTAATAGTGGGGGGAATTAGAAATTAGATCTAGCAGTAAGGAAGGGGACTTAAATGAACACAATATAATGTCTGCTTGGAGTGTTGGGATATAGTCATGAACAGTGATTTTTACAGTTTTCAATAGCATGAGAAAATGCTATGTTGTAAAAAAGTGAAAAGTGCCCTGGCTGAGTACTTCAGTTGATTAGACTGTTGTTCCAATATATCAAGATTGCAGGTTCGATCCCCAGTCAATCACATACATGAAACAACCAATGAATGTATTAATGGGTGGAGCAGCAAATCTTTTTCTCTCTCTCTCACTCCCCCTCCTCTTCTTTCTCTTTCCCCTCTTTCTCTAAAACCAATAAGTAAAAAGTGAAAAGAGAAGGATACAATATTTTGTTTTAATATGCTATATAAATCAAAACTGTAACAAGTGAAACTAACTGTACATAAAAATGACTGAAAGGAAATATAGTCAACTGTTAATAATGTATTGAACGTATAGGTTATCTCCTTTCTTTGTACTTTTCTATGTTTTTTAATAGTTTGTATGGTGCTAAAGGTAAACTATTTTAGTCCTCAAATAATTTTTTGTAGTTATTTAAAAGGCTACTTATGAATAACTCTCTAATTCCTTTTTCACCTTCAGGAAACGATTATATATGGAAGTATTTGAATATACCCGTCCTATGATGCATCCTGAACCTGGCAAATTCTATCAGATTAATCCAGAAGAATATGAACATCCAAATCCTTGGAAAGAGAGTTTCCAGCAGTTGGTAGGAAGTATAAATAGAAAATATTGCCTTATGTATATTATATATTTGGAGATAAAATTTCCTTTCTAAAAAAGTTAAACTCATGCATGGAGATATTTATAATGTCATATCTTATGAAAATTATGAAAAGGAGGAATGTTCATGACTTACTGAGAGAGACATTTTGCTTCATTCGTGATGACAGGTGTAATGACCCTGATGAAGTAATACCGTGTTTCCCCGAAAATAATACCTAGCGCATGGAAAGATAAGACATCCCCTGAAAATAAGACCTAGTACAACTTTGGGATAAAAAATTAATATAAGACACTGTCTTATTTTCGGGGAAACAGGGTAGATACTACAAAGAAATATTTATCACTGAGCAAACACAGACATTTAACCTGACATCAAATAAAATAATTAAGGGTTTTTGTTTTGTTTGTTCTTATTGATTTCAGAGAGGGAGAAAAAAGAGAGAGAGATATCAATAATGAAAGAGAATCATTGATTGGCTGCCTCCTGCACACCCCCACTGGGGATCAAGCCCAACACCCAGGCATATGTCCTGACTGGGAATCAAACCATGACCTCCTTCCTGGTTCATAGGTCAACGCTCAACCACTGAGCCATGCCAGTTGAATAATTAAGTTTGTTGGTATGTTGTGTTTTTTTTTAATTTCAAGAATAGGTTTCAAGCCAGTGCACATTTATCAACCAACAAAATACTCGACAATTTCACTGCTGACATAATCTAAACATTGACAGTAAAGATCAGTAGCCTGGAAGCAGTTATACTTTCTATGGGTCTGTTGAACTTTTATTTAAATTATTGGTGTTCAATAGTTTTAAAGTTTTACTTTTAGCATAATTTTTATGTAGTCTTTTACAAATGGCTCTCAACTAGGATGATTTTGCTCCACGGGGGACATTTGACAACTTCTGGAGACGTTTTTAAGTTACTGCAACTGGAGAAGAGGATGCTACTGGGTAGAGACCAAGAATGCTGCTAAGCATTCTACAATGCACAGGACAGCCCCCACAACAAAGGAACTGTCTGTTCCAAATTATTAGTAGTGCTGAGATTGAGAATCCTTGTCTTTCTTACTGAATAGTACTGAATAATATAAAATCTGAAACACCCTTTACATTGCACTTTGCAACAGAAAATTAGTTGAAATAATTGATTTTTTTATATATTATTTAAAATATTCATAAAGTACAAAATTAGTTTAAAATGTAATGTTCTTTTCTTTTCCTTTTTTTTTTTTTTTTTTTTTTTTTTTTGGACATTAAGTATAAAGGTGCACATGTAAAGCCAGGATTTGCTGAACATTTCTACAGTAACCCTGCAAGATATAAAGGAAGAGAAAATATGTTGGTATGTTTGATCTGTATTTTAATGAGATTTAAAATGGTAATTTTGCAGTTCTAAATTGACACTTATTTTTTTCTAGTATTATGATACAATTGAAGATGCCCTTGGTGGGGTACAAGAAGCTCATTTTGATGGACTTATCTTTGTTCATTCTGGAATATATACTGATGAATGGATATATATTGAATCTCCAATCACCATGATTGGTGCAGGTATTTTGAAATGCATTTTTATTAGAATTTTACCAATTTTATTTACATAACGGTTTATAAAATGCTATTGACTTAAAACTTAGGTAACTTTGATAATACCTTAATGGTAGGAAAGAATAAGAATTAAATATCATGAATATTTTATGTGATAGAAATGAAAACATGAGAGTTCAGAAACTGCGGATATGTCTTACTTCTTTTTAAGATGTATATATTTCTTGCCCAGCTAGCATGGCTCAGTGGTTGAGCATCAACCTATGAATCCCGGGAGGTCACATTTTGATTCCCATTCAGGGCATATGCCTGGGTTGTGGGCTTGATTCCCAGTGTGGGGCATGTAGGGGCCAGCCAATCAGTAATTCTCTTTCATTGATGTTTCAATCTTTCTCCCTCCATCTCCCTCTCTGAAATCAATAAAAATATTTTATTTTTAAATGTATATGTTTCTTGGTCACTACTTTGTCCAACTGCCTTAGTTAATCATTAAGGAAAGAAAAATGTTTGTTAGCTTTATCTTAAATATTTTTGGACTATATAAAAGCTGCTTTTATGCTCAAGTTTCTAAGAAAAAAATGTAAGTAATAAAATATTGAGCACTGATCGGTCATTTGAAATTTATGTTATGATTTTTTTTTTTTTAAGAGAGGAAGAATAGGACAGGAGGGAGGAAGGAAAAGGAGTGGGAGGGGGAAAAGAGAAAGAAGGAGGGAGAAAGGAAGAGAAAGAGACATCAGTGATGAGAGAGAACCATTGATCTGCTGCCTCCTGCACACCCCACACAGGGGATCAAGTCCACAACCTGGGCATGTGACCTGACCAGGAATCAAACCGTGATCTCTTGGTTCATAGGTCAGTGTTCAACTACTGAGCCACACCAGCTGGACTCTCTGATTTTCTAAGGATATAGTACATTGCATTTACTGCCCTTTCTGTTTTCCTCCCACATTTCCATCATGAAGAAAAGTGAGGCGGGAGGGTGTAGAAAATTTCTGCCTATAGATTTTTATTACTTTCCAAATTAAGGCCAGTTTTGGAAATAAATGTAAATAAATAGGTCTCTTTTGCAATTGAACCTTCTTAGAAGTATTATACATGGATTTCAATAATATCTACATTAAATATGACTGCCTGTAATAAAGGCCAGTGAAATATAGTTATCAATTAAATGAGTATTAGTACTCTCAATATTTAAAAGTAACTTTTAACAGTTCTCCCTCCAACTTAAAACAATAAAAAAAAATTCTATATTACTAGTTTTATAGCAAAGTATTACTGTATTTTTTAAAGTTATTTTTAAATTTTAATTTCATCTGTCTGGTAAAGGTAATATATTTTAAATATCTTCTCCACAGCACCCGGAAAAGTAGCAGACAAAGTTATAATTGAAAACACTAGAGATTCAACCTTTGTTTTTATGGAAGGTTCTGAGGATGCTTATGTTGGATATATGACAATAAGGGTAAGAAATTTTAAGATTTAAAATAATACGTTGAAATCATTAAAGCACTGGTGGTTTATTTAACAAAATTTCTACTTTTCAGTTTAATCCTGATGACAAATCTGCTCAACACCACAATGCACACCACTGCTTAGAGATTACAGTAAATTGTAGTCCTATTATTGATCACTGTATCATCAGAAGTACATGTACAGGTTAGTGTTTCTTTATATTTTGTTATAAAATGAGTCTCTGTGTTGTGGCCCAATAAGTTTTTAAATAAAGTATTTTCCTTACAGTTGGCTCTGCCGTATGTGTTAGTGGTCAAGGAGCATGTCCCACTATCAAGCACTGTAATATCAGCGACTGTGAAAATGTTGGACTTTATATAACAGATCATGCACAGGTATTTCTTTAACTTTGTGGTTTTATTCTTTTAAATATTTTTTCAAGTTTTACTAATGTTTATTTCTGATTATTTGTTGTAGGGAATATATGAAGATAATGAAATTTCCAATAATGCTTTGGCTGGGATTTGGGTTAAAAATCATGGAAACCCAATTATTAGAAGGAATCATATTCATCATGGACGTGATGTTGGTGTGTTCACATTTGATCATGGCATGGTAAGAACATTTTTAACAGAAAAGCTGACCTCATATTAGTTAGATTTCAAATAGGTTTCAAGATTTTATAACCACCCAATTATTTGTTTCTATTATGTGGTATAGGTTTAAAAGCTATTTCAGCATTACATTTTTAAATCAATATGCAATACTCTATAAATTCATGGTTCTCACACTATAATAACTCTCTCATCAATAAATAGAATAAAAATAAATATGGTAAGTGACCTGTGCCTATGACCAGGGTAACCAGTCCACATTAGAGCAGGTTATAAAACCTGCTTGTATTTAGGAAGATAAATTGGTAAACCTAATGTGGAATGTAAATATGTTAATTTAAAGAACTGGTAGCTGCCGAAACCGGTTTGGCTCAATGGATAGAGTGTCGGCTTGGGGACTGAAGGGACCCAGGTTCGATTCCGGGCATGTACCTTGGTTGCGGGCATATCCCCAGTAGGGGGTGTGCAAGAGGCAGCTGATCCATGACTCACTCTCATCGATGTTTCTAGCTCTATGTCTCTCTCCTTTCCTCTCTGTACAAAATCAATAAAAATTTTAAAAATAAAAAATAAAATAAAAAAAATAAAGAACTGGTAGCAAGTTTAAGATAAATTATCACTAGAGATTTAAGCAAAGGAGAAGAACAAAATAACTACTATAAGGAAAATAAAAAATTGTGCAGCAAAGAATATATTGTTATACTTGACAGCTCAGCTCTGACTAACACACTAATCTAACCACATTATGATATAACTACATTGGAAGAGCATATGAATGTTTGTGATGAGGAATAGAAAATAGGAAAGTTAAATTCTCATCTTCCATAACAGGAAGTCAGTAAGTAATACCTAATACTGAAAACTCAAGATATAGCAATACAAATCTTTACTTAAAAATATAATGCTAGATTGACTAGCCAGTTTGGCTCAGTGGATAGAGCATCAGCATGCAGACCAAGGGTCCCAGGTTCAGTTTCCATCAAGGGTTCATACCTCGGTTGCAGGCTCCTCCCCAGCCCAGGCCCTGGTTGGGGCCATGCAGGAAGCAACCAAACAATGTGTTTCTCTCACATCAGTGTTCCTCTTTGTCTTACCCTCTCTCTTCCACTCTGCCTAAACATAAATGGAAAAATATCCTCGGATGAGGATAAACCCAAAAAAATGGAGGTAGCTGAAAGAATTTAAAGTATGGGCCTCTGGCTGAGGGAAAATAAAGAGAGTGGTTTGCTCTTTGCCTAAATAAATTTGTGAATCTGGTTGACTCTCTCATTGTACAAAATTAAAGCCTAAAGAAAACAGAGAAAGAGCTTTCCCACAGTAGAATAATTTGTAGTAGATATACATCAAAGCATACTTGTAGTATTACTATATGTTTAACTAGGATAGCCAGAACATAACAATAGCCTGCTATTGGAATCTTCATGAAAGCCCAATAAATAGCAAACCTTTCTTCCCCTGGCCAGCATGGCTCAGTGGTTGAGCATTGACCTATGAACCAGGAGGTCACAGTTTGAGTTCCGGTCAGGGTACATGCCTGGATTGTGGGCTTGAACCCCCAGTGTTGGGTCTGTAGGAAGCAGCCAATCAATTATTTTCTGTCATTGATGTTTCTCTCACTTCCTCTCTCAAATCAATGAAAATACTTGTGTATTTTTTTTAAATAGTATACCTTTCCTTGCTACATTTCTAAATTAAGAAATAAAGCCATACAGTAACAAAAGTAAGCTGAAATATTATCTTTCTTGCTCTTAAAAGTTAAATTGGAAAATACAGCTTAGAATGAAAACCAAATTAGATCTGTTTAACTGAAATCCCAAATTAAATAGACTTGCCCACTTAGTCATAGACAGTGTTTGTGAGTTGTAACAGAAAATTGAGCATACCCAGTTTATTCTTTCCCAGGTTTACTAATCAGGTAGTAAATCACTTAACTCTAGGCAGAGAGAGACTGAGAGACCAGTTGAGCTCCTGTCTCAGTGATAAAAACACCAGAAAAATGTTTGTTTCAAGAGAACATTAAGTTCTTTTAGTTTATCCTGTTTTTGAATTTGTTTTTGTTTTTTTTTATGTTCGTGTGTAAAGTTTGTATACTTGGATAGTTCTCTTCAGGAGCTTATTATCAGGTACAAATGGATATGACAAAGTATAGAAATAGTACAGGCCAGTAAGTGGAAGGTAGCATAAGAAAATACTTAGTGTTAAAGGAAGCACGTTTAGTCTATGTGTGCGGTGAAAAGTAACAATTTTGCTATTGAGTGCCATATATTTCTTCTGAGCTAATCAAAGGGTGTGAGGATATTGGGGCACTGCACAAAATATGGAACATTTAACAAATCTATACTAATAAAAGAAAAAGATGCAAATTGTTCATACCTTTGTGACGCCCACCAGCCAATCACAAGTGAGTATGTAAATTAATTTGCATATGCAGCCACCAAGTGGCTGGGGTAGGGCAGGGTGGGATGCTTGCATCGTTACCATGGCGACAATGTAGGTGTTCCACACAGCCCCAGCAGCTCCAGGCCTCTAGGCAGCATGGGAAGGCAGAAAGGCCACTCGGGCTGGAGCAAAGGCGGTGCCAGCAGCCAGAGGAAGGAAGGCCCATTCTTGCATGAATATTCCTGCATCAGGCCTCTAGTTTGTATATAATCATTGTTCAGGACCCATGCTATGATTGGAATAAATAGATTTTACATACATAAAAGCTATGTATTCAAGTTTTATTTTTATTTTTTTAATATATTTTATTGATTTTTTACAGAGAGGAGGAGAGAGGAATAGAGAGCTAGAAACATGGATGAGAGAGAAACATTGATCAGCTGCCTCTTGTACACCCCTATCGGGGATGTGCCCACAACCAATGTGTATTCCAGTTTGAATATATGTGCTGCCAAAACAAGCATGAACACATTCAGTCGAAGGGATAGGCAAGGGAAATATAATGGTTTTTTTAAAATGCCATCTTAAAAGTTTTATTTTTTCTCTTAATATTCAATATTGATTGAGTCATAGAATTTAAGATATTAGTATCAGAGTACTTTTTTTTCTTAAATCCTCTCCCAAGGATATTTTTCCATTGATTTTAGAGAGAGTAGAAGAGAAAGGGAAGTAAAAGAGAGAAGCATCGATGCGAGAGAAACACATTGATTGGTTGCCTCCTGCATATGCCCTGACCAGAGCCCAGCTGGGGAGGAGCCTGTGAGGTTTGTGCCCTTGACCAGAATCGATCCCGGGACCCTTTGGTCCATAGACTGATGTACTATCCACTGAACCAAACAAGCCAGGGCAGTGTTAGAGAACTTTCATTCTCATTACAAAATAAGTAAACATCCATTATAGAAAATTTAAGAAATTAATAAGAGAGGTTATAAAGGATACAAATAAATATCACTACTCAAATGGTCATACCTTTATGTTTTTGTTTAATCCTTCAGGTTGTTTTTCTTTAGTAAAATTTAGGTCATATTTAATGTATACTACATTGAAGAATATACTATACTTTTCATTTAACATGATAGTATGTATACCTTGAGCATAAGTTTTCAAAAACCTTTTATGTAGTTAGATCACTATTATGTGGCTAGAATGAAAGTTATTTGTGTGTCTTTTTCTTTCTTTTTTTTTTTTTTTAAATATATTTTATTGATTTTTTGCAGAGAGAGGAAGGGAGAGAGATAGAGAGCTAGAAATGTCGTCGATGAGAGAGAAACATCGACCAGTTGCCTCCTGCACACCCCCTACTGGGGATGTGCCCGCAACCAACGTACATGCCCCTGACCGAAATCGAACCTGGGACCTTTCAGTCCGCAGACCGACGCTCTACCACTGAGCCAAACCGGTTTCGGCTGTGTGTCTTTTTCTGTGGGCTCTGCTTATATCCTTATGTCAATTTTTTATAAGTTAATTTCTTGGAACATTTTTAAGGCTACAAGGACTTAGTGTCTTTAATACTTATAAATCTTTTGTTGAAAGAAATGCATACTTACCTATTTTTCTTTCCTGGCATTGAATATATTCAGACTAATTAGAGTATTTGTAGTTTGGTTGTACTGAAATTAAAATATTCCCTTCCATGTTTATCATTTGAAATTTAGTGAATATCTTTGTTCCTACTCTTGAACATCTCTGATACTTAATTTTGACGTGTACATTTAAAAATATGGGGGTTTTTTTATGTTTCTTCTAGAAAACTAGCCTTACTTACAGTTTTAATTTCTGTATTTCTTCAGGGTTACTTTGAAAGTTGCAACATACACAGAAACAGGATAGCAGGCTTTGAGGTAAAAGCTTATGCTAACCCCACAGTGGTTCGATGTGAAATTCATCATGGACAGACTGGAGGAATATATGTCCACGAAAAAGGACGAGGACAGTTCATAGAGAATAAAATCTATGCAAACAACTTTGCAGGTGTATGGATTACCTCAAATAGTGACCCAACGATAAGGTATTTATAAGTATTATGAGTGGAAATTACTTTTTTACTTTTGTAAGAAAAGTCCAAGAGCCCTAGCCGGTTTGGCTCAGTGGAAAGAGTGTTGGCCTGCAGACTCAAGGTTCCCAGGTTCGATTCCGGTGAAGGGAATATACCTTAGTTGCAGGCACGTCCCCAGTTTCTCTCTCATTGATGTTTATAACTGTTTCTCTCTCATTGATGTTTCTAATCTTTCTCCCTCTCCCTTCCTATATATTTAAAGAATAAAGAAAGGGGGAAGAGAGAAACATCCATGTGAGAGCTCAACATGAATCAACTGCCCCTTGCATGCTCCCTCTACCAGAGATTGAGCCAGCCACCTCCTTGTGCATGGGGCAACACCCAACCAACTGAGCTACAGCAGCCAGGGCTTTTGTTGTTGTTGTTGGCTGCTGTTGTTGTTGTTGTTATTATTGGTTGGTTGGTTTTTCTTCAAAGACCACCAATAGAATAACTCAGGAAACTGTCTCAAAGATTTTGATCAGAGCGACTAAGAATAAAACTTAAACCTGATGTGTGTTTATTTCTTTTCTTTTTTATTTCAGAGAGGGAGAGAGCAATAGAAACATCAGTGATAAGAGAGAATCATTGATCAGCTGCCTCCTGCTTTGGATTGAGCCCACAACCTGGGCATATATCCTGATCAGGAATCAAACTGTGAAACGCCTGATTCATAGGTTGACCCTCAACCACTGAATCTGGCCACTAAGGAAACAAATAGATCCAGTCTTTTTTATTTTTTAGTTAATCCTCACCCGAAGATATTTTTTCCATTGATTTTTTAGACAGACTGGAAGGGAGGTGGGGGAGAGAGAAACATCGATTGGTTGCCTCCTGCACATGCCCCAACTGGGGCCAGGGATGTAGCCTGCAACCAAAGTAAGTGTTTTTGACCACTAGAATTGAAAATGGGACCCTTCAGTCCATGGGCCAATACTTCAACTACTGAGCCAAACCGGCTAGGGCAATAGACCCAGTCTTAATGGCATTGGTTAATTGTACAGAGCTCTACCCTGTTTCCCCGAAAATAAGACAGTGTCTAATATTAATTTTTTTCTCCCAAAGTTGCGCTATGTCTTATTTTCAGGGGATGTCTTATCCTTCCATGCGCTAGGTCTTTATTTTCAGAGGATGTCTTATTTTCGGGGAAACAAGGTATTATAATTTAATTAAAGACTATGAAGTGTTTTTGTCAAATTTTATTTTCCACTGGTTTTCATTGAAAGTATATGGGATTTCCATCGTGTAGTATTTAACAAATGCGTCTAGAGCAGTTTTATAAAAGTTATTTTGAATGAGTTAGTTGTTCTGAGGAGAATTTTTAAGAATGCTATTTTGTCTCAAATATTAGATGACTTTTTCAAAGCTTGAGGTCTTAGAACAAGAAAGGAATTTAGAAATCACCTAGTCTGAGGACCTCATTAGATGGATTAGGAAACTAAGGATCATAGAAGTTAAATAATTTTCCAAGGTTACATGACGATGAGTGACCTTACAATTAATTGTATAAAACAAGTAAGTTTACTGAATAGATTCTTATTTTATTTCATGTAATTATAGGGGGAATTCTATATTTAATGGAAATCAAGGGGGAGTTTACATCTTTGGTGATGGACGAGGCCTTATTGAAGGAAATGACATTTATGGTAAGCATGTGGCTTTGATCTATAAAATTTTAGTGTTTGACTTCTCTACCTCACAGTAGCAAAATGGAACAGTTTGACACTATCCAAGTAGAACTGATCCAATTTTTTAAATTCTCATTAAAGACTTTCTGTGATATTTACTCAACTACAAACATTTACTAAATACCTACTATGTACCTGGCACTATGCCAGATACCAGGGATCAAAATATAAAGAAGATAGATAATTAGATTCAAGGAGTATCTATAGTTCCCTTAAATTATTCCATTGTTTAATAATAAGTTATTGCTGTGGTAGTTTTTTATTTTGGTATTACTAGGAAGGGAAAATAATTAATCTTCATTAAACGTCAGCAAACTACTGGTGTCTATGTGCTGGACACTGATATGTTCTTAGACTTTCTCCTTTGCTAACACCTGATAATACATAGGTTTACTCAGTGTCAGGCACTATTCTGAGCACCTTATCTAAATTAAGTCATAGAATATTCACATCAACCCTGTGACGTTTATTTAATAGTATATCTAGTGATATTTAATGGTATGTAGTGATCAAGAAACAAAGGGATAGAGATGGTTAATGACTTATTCAAAATCACACAGGAAGTAGATAGAATTCCTGGGATTTAAAACTATGCAGCCTAACCAATTGTCTTTACCCTTAACCACTATACTTACAATGCCTACAATCCTTTGCATTTATTTTTTTACACTTAGTTCCTTCATGGGCCATAAGTATCTTTTTGAATATTACATATTTCACAAAATTGTGCTTTTACTAAAATAAGAATTTTAGCCACTACAGAATGTAAGACTTTTTACTATGTTTTGCTAGGCTCCCTATGTTGATATTGTAACTTTTACTTTTAAATAGGAAATGCATTAGCAGGAATTCAGATTAGAACAAACAGTTGTCCAATTGTTCGACATAACAAAATTCATGATGGCCAGCATGGTGGAATTTATGTGGTAAGTTAATGAATACAATTCTAGAATTTCATACATCAAAACCAGAGGAGTAGGGAACATGGGGCAGAATAATGTTTAGCAACTATCTTTAATATTTAGACAATGAATAAGACACTTTTCTCGTAGCCGGTATATATAAAAAAAACTTTTAATTTTATAGTGTGTGTAGTGTTCTATAAAATTTAATCAACTGACTAAATTTAGGCATAGGAAGTATACCTATATATTAAAGATTTTTATAATTGGCAATATGAAGTAATAACTGATTGTCAGTTTTCAATTATATTTGTTGCATTGGAATTTTGTCTATGTGACTACTGTATGAATCTCTGAAATTTTCCAATAGTAATAACACTGAAAATACTAATAACACTAGACTTGAATATTTTTATCCTTTGAAAAGGCCAGTTTTCTTTTTAATTTATGTTGCAATATAATTGAGCATCTCCCAACATTTTTAAACCTGTGTATGTCCTCTGGTCACCATGGTATCTGAAACTGTTCAAGTAAGAAAATAATGGGATCCTAATTTCTGAAAGGTTTTTGTGAAAGTTTTTTGTGGCTAATTTTTATTTACAGTTCTAGAAATATTCATATCTCTAATCTGCTAAAAAATAAAAATTTTAGCAACCCTGAAACCTTATTATTTTGAAGTGACTTTACCAGTGATAATGTGAAATAACTGTTAACTTACAAAACGAGAGATCTTCAGTTTGCTATATATCTTAGAATGAAATAAATGATTTTGTTTTTAAAAAATTGCATGCTACTACTCTTATGATAGTAGATTTAAAAGTACATAACCAATCTCTGTGAAAAATCAATAAAATATATTTTTTAAAAATAAAAATAAAAAAATAAAAAAAGAATTAACTACAATAAAAATAAACTGAATTTCTAAAGTAAAAAAAAAAAAAAAAGTACATAACCACATAAAGAATAGTATAAACATTTTAGAGGCCTAAACTTAGAAACTACATAAAAATGTTATCATTGCCTTCTTACTTAGATAACAAAAAAATTTTTAAATTTGTTAAAACTATCTTTAAAGAGGAATACACTAGCCGAAACCGTTTGGCTCAGTGGTAGAGCCTCGGTCTGCGGACTGAAAGGTCCCAGGTTCGATTCCGGCCAAGGACATGTACGTTGGTTGCGGGCACATACCCAGTGGGGCGTGTGCAAGAGGCAGCTGGTCGATGTTTCTCTCTCATTGACGTTTCTGGCTCTCTCTCTCTCTCCCTTCCTCTCTGTAAAATATCAATAAAATATTAAAAAAAAAAAAAAAAAAAAAGAGGAATACACTATAAACTATATTTTGCTGATATAAAATGTATATTGTAATAAATGTATTTTTTATTTAGCATGAGAAAGGACAAGGTGTAATAGAAGAGAATGAAGTTTATAGTAATACTCTAGCTGGAGTTTGGGTGACAACTGGCAGCACTCCAGTGCTGAGAAGAAACAGGATACACAGTGGCAAGCAGGTAAGATTGTCTTAGATTCCTGTATGTGAAAATCATTGTTTTATTAAACACTTTGGTCATATGAATTAAATTTTTTTTTTTAACTTTAGGTTGGTGTTTATTTTTATGACAATGGACATGGAGTGCTAGAAGACAATGATATCTATAATCATATGTATTCAGGGGTTCAGATAAGGTAAATGTTTTCACATTTGGCTTTTTTTGGCAGGGAATGAGAAACGTGGAGTATGCAGAAGAAATTTTTTTATTCAATGCTCAGTCTTTATTCTTTTGTGTGTCTGTAATTCACACTGTCGTAATCTTGCCTTAAATTGTTAGATTATAACTTTGGACTAGTTGAGGACAGCATTCAATGTACTCCATCATACTTGGATACCACAGAAGACTATATAAAATACTTATGAACTGTGCCTGACATGTTGTAGGCACTCGTAAATGGAAGTGTTTTTATGCTATTTGTATAAAATTAAGTCTTTTAGACCCTTCTTGTCTATTTTTTAACAGTTTTTGGAACTATAGTAATCCTAATCATGTAATTCAACCCTTCATTTTACATAAGGGGGGGTACATAATAATAGTTATTTATTTTTACCCCCTCCATTTAGTTTACCTGTTAAGAAACTATAGTATTAACATAAAGTATACGTTAAGTGTGTTCTGTGGGAAATAAAATTAAGTTAAATTAAACAAATTTCTTTGACAGACTTTCAGAGCATTTCGAAGGACTCTATTGTATAGTTAATTATTTTATTTTCTTAAGTATACTTTTATTTCAGAGAGGAAGGGGGAGAGGGAAACATCAATGATGAGAAAGAACTATTGATTGGCTGCCTCCTGCACGCCCCACACTGGGGCTTTAACCTACAACCCATGTATGGGACCTGATCAGAAATCGAACCATGGCCATCTGGTCCACAGGTTGATGCTCAAACTCAACCACTGAACCACACCAGCCAGGCTATAGTTAAATCTAACTATGATTAATGTGTATTTTTTCACTGTTACCTCATGGCATATAGGGAACAGAAGCAATTAAAATGGCATTGTTCTCTATTCTATTCATAGGACTGGAAGCAATCCCAAAATTAGGCGCAACAAAATCTGGGGAGGACAGAATGGTGGAATTCTAGTTTATAATTCCGGTAAGTATAATCTTTCATCTGTTTCGCAGTGCTAATAATCTTTAGAAATATACTTTCCAAATAACCTAAATTTTTGCATTTATAGGTCTTGGCTGTATAGAAGACAATGAAATATTTGACAATGCAATGGCTGGCGTCTGGATTAAGACGGATAGTAACCCTACACTAAGAAGAAATAAAATCCATGATGGAAGAGATGGTGGCATCTGTATATTTAATGGGGGTCGAGGTATTGTTGTTAATTTTGCATTAGTAAAAACCCCAATTTTCAATTCTTCTTCTATATCTTTAACAATCAATGGCATTGCCAGTTAACATGAATCTCAGTTGTTTTTCTTATCAAGTCTTGAGATGGTTTAGGAGATTACAAATGTTTACAGTATTTTTCTTTTTTTTTCTGTACCACCATAAGTGTGCCAGTTTATTAGTAAGGCTTTTTTAAGTTCACAGCCTCTCTGGACTTTTTATTCAGAAGAGTGATATAATTATAACAAATTTGAAAGTCAAGTTATAGAACTAGGTTTAAGAACTTAATTGGTCTGTAAATATATGAAAATGTCTGTAATAAGTATTGCTTTGTATCTATTTCACAACGATGTTTGTTGGATAATGGGATTAATGAAGCTAAGGTGTGCCTGGTTTGGTATCCATAAAGGCCAATTCACTTTGTATTGAGGCAAAAGTTCCACAGTCCCTGCCCTCTGAAAATTCATGTTCATGAAGACTGGGAAAGAATGTCTAATGCAAATTTATCGCCATTCCTGAAATATCAATGACCCAACATTGTGTGCTCACCTTATGTGGAAAGATAGCTAGATATTATTATGACATACCAAGATTTAATCAACAAAATTTATTGCAACCAAGCAAAGATGATTTTCTTAAAGACATACTCTCTCCAGAAGTTTATAATTTAGTAATTCATTAAAGTAGCATATCTCTGTTAGGCATCTTTAAAAGGTATAATGAGAAAACTACAGAATGGTGGTTTTATTTGCAAGGTGCTAAGAAGATTCATGGAGTAAAATCATTCTTGAAATGTCTCTTGAAAATTGAGAGTTCACAGGAAAATGGGAGTGGGAAGGGCGTGTGGGAAGCAGGCCATTCCAGGTATAGAAAACATTCTTTCACTCTTTCATTTGTTATTCCTAACTAAACACCTCTGTACGAACCACTGTGATATAGATACTAAAGATATAATGGTGAATAAAACAATACTACATCCAGAAAGTTTACAGTCTAATGGAGTAGCACATTGTAAACAAACGTATAAATAAAACTGGTTTATTTAGTAAGACAACAGGTACTGGAAGTTAAGGCCAGAGGAAAGGGGCAAGGCCCAGATCGTAAAAGGCTTTGTATATGCAGGATTGAGTTAGGACATCTTGGCAATGCAATGGCCCTTGAGGTTAGTGGACATGTGTAGAATAGAAGCAGGATCTTGGGACACTCTTTTCAGGGGAAAAGGAATTCAGGGGTCAATACAAGGTGGGTCAGATATCTATAAAAATAAAACCATGTTTCACATCTTTAGGGAGCAGAAAAACACTGGTTCACAGCTAACTATAATTCACTGTACATAAGTAGATTTTATAGGAGCAATACTAGCTAATATTTAGTGCAATATACTTTTGTAAGTATTAATTTAATTCTCATAATAACTGTATGTGGTAGGTGATATTGTGCCCATTTTAAAGGAAACTGAGTCCAAGGAAGTAAGTTATTTGTCCACTCGGAGCTAGTTAAGTGGTGGAATCAATATTTAAAGACCTAAAGTCTGATTCCTGGCCTACTCTTAGCAATTGTTAAACTGCCAACAAAATTAATAATAAATTTGATTAAAGGAAACTGAAAACTTTTTAGAGGAAATGACATTAGCAAGATAGAGTACAGGACATTCCAGAAGAGGAAATAATATAAACCCAAGGTATTAAGGATTTAAATATTCAGAAGATAGGTAAATGAGATAAGTAGCTTGGGGGGAATATTTTCAAAGGCTTTGAATGGCAAGTTAATTTAATATTTAATTATGAAAGTTGGGTTTGTTTTTAAGCAGAGAAGGGACATGATAAAAGAGTTGTAGGAACCGGGGAAAATACAGCAACAGCTTAGACTGGAGTAAAGGAAATTGATCAAAGAATCATAGTAATAATGGCCAGAAATAATCAGAACTTGAACTGAAACGAAGGGTGCAAAGGTTCTAAAAATATTTCAAAGGAATTAATTGTAATTCAGAGTGTTCAGTGAGAATCATCCATGTGCCAGGCACAGATGATGCAGTGGTGAGTAAACTAGACATGGTCCCTGCAACCATGGAATTTGAAGTTTATTAGTTAGAATGTATACCTGCAATTTTTGGCTAAACCTTGCCTTAAATGCTGAATAACTAATGAACTTTCCTTTTGGCTGAAAAATTAATCCTGTGAATTTTACAATGCAGTTAAATAGGAAACAAAACAAAAAAAAGAAAGAAACCTTAATGTCACCAAAAAGGCTAGTAAAATTTGTTATATGCTATTATAGGTCTCCTTGAAGAAAATGATATTTTCAGGAATGCTCAAGCAGGTGTTCTCATCAGCACTAATAGTCATCCAGTCTTACGGAAAAACAGAATATTTGATGGATTTGCTGCAGGTTTGTATTTTCTCCTGTTACCTGTAGCTTGCTTTTTTTTTTTTTCTAAACATTAAAAATGGTTGGTTTTTAGTATATTTTGCTTAATAATTAAGTGTGCCAATTGGCAAAATGCCTGTCTGTTAACAATGAGAGTACCTAATCTAAGTTCTGGATTTTTCCACAAACCTGTAAGAAATACTGATCTTTGCTGTTCAGTAGTAATTATGAAACATTAATTGGGATAGGATAAATGCAGCCTTTGTACTGCTATTAGGAATACAGAAAAATTCTTGCCCTCTGACCTCACACTTTTTTTTTCATGTTGGTAAATTAAATCCAAGTATCATCCTATTAATAAAAGCCTAATATGCTAAGTGTCCAGTCAAACATTCAACCAAAGAGTAATATGCTAAGGCCGCTCAATCACTCGCTATAATGTGCACTAACTCCAAGGGGCAGATGCTCCAACTGGTAGGTTAGCTTGCTGCTGGGGTCCAGCCAATGGGGACTGAGTGAGACAGGCTGGCCACGCCCTGGAGTCCTCCTGGGGTCTCTTGGCCTGGCCGGAGCCCTCTCACAATCCACGATCCCTCAGATGAGAGCCAGTTTCGACCCGATCCTACAGGCCAGGCCAAGGGATCCCCTGGTGCACAAATTCATGCAGGCTTCTAGTGCATATATATTTCAACTTTTTGCTAGAGCATTTATTTTTTTTTTCTTCTTTTTTATTAAAGTATTATATGTGTACGTATCTTACCAATTCCCCTTCCCCCCCTCCTATATATGCCCTTCCCCCATTGCACCCATTGGTTATGCTTATATGCATGCAAACAAGTCCTTCGGTTGATCTTTTATTTCCCCCATATCTCCCTATCCTCCCCACTGTAATTTGACAGTCTGTTGCTTTACTGTCTCTGTATCTATCTTCTTTATTCATCAGTTTATAATGTTCCTTATCATCCATAAATGAGTGAGATCATGTGGTGTTTTTCTTTCAATAACTGGCTTATTTCACTCAGCATAATGTTCTCCACTTCCAACCAGGTTGCTGCAAATGATAATTCCTTCTTTTTCATGGCAGCATAGTATTCCATTGTGTAGATATACCAGTTTTTTGATCCAATCATCTGCTGATGGGCACACTTAGGCTGTTTCCAAATCCTAGTTATTGTAAATTGTGCTGCTATGAGCATAGGGGTGCATATATCCTTTGATATTTCTAGTCTCTTAAGATATATTCCTAGGAGATTACTAGGTCAAACGGGAGTTCCATTTTCAGTTTGAGGAAACTCCATACTGTTCTCCACAATGGTTGCACTAGTCTGCATTCCCACCAGCAGTGCACAAGGGTTCCTTTTTCTCCGCATCCTTACCAGCACTTGTTTGTTGATTTATTGATAGCCATTCTGACAGGGCATTTACTTTTAATAATCCAAATAACTAGCTAGTTTCATCTTAGTTTGCAAAATTTTTAAATGTCATTACTAAAAGTAGTAAGTGGTGAACCATCTTGTATCATGCCATAATTATTAACAATGGAAAATGTTACTATCAATGATTCAAAAACATTTGTACTTTATTCCCTAGTTAAGAATTAAGTTTAAGAAACTAGATAAAGTGATGCATCCGCTGTTTAAATTTTACTTCAGGTATTGAAATTACAAATCATGCAACTGCAACATTAGAAGGCAATCAGATTTTTAACAACCGGTTTGGAGGCTTATTTTTAGCATCTGGTGTTAATGTGACAATGAAAGGTATGTTGGAGTCTACGTTCATTAGTTAAAACTCTTTTGACTTATTAGAATAATCCTATAATCTATATTTTTAGATTAAATCTGTCCTCTAGAATTTTACTTTTTTTTTCTTTTATTACAGATAACAAAATAATGAACAATCAAGATGCCATAGAAAAGGCTGTTAGTAGAGGCCAATGTTTATATAAAATATCAAGTTATACCAGCTATCCCATGCATGACTTCTACAGGTATATTTCTAAATTATTTGTTGGTCCAGAAGAGGAGGAAGATGGTGATTCTTCCTCCCTCCCCACTCCCCCTATAAATGTGTGAGTAAAGGCAAGAGTAAATTGAGTATTTGCCAGTGGAAACACATAATTGTCCACGTTGAGTTCCATGATGAATCTATTGGAGGATCCTGTTTGAGACCATAAATATCAGAAAAAGCACAAGTCATTTAAGTGTGAATGGATGTTGATTCCTCTCCCCAAAATTGTTTCAGTAGTGCTTAATAGGCAAGTTTCAACAGATTTTCTATAATTGTTTTCCTCAGCAGAGCAATCCATTTAATTAATTTTAGTCTCTACAGAACTGTGGGGTAGAGCCACAAAAATTTTGTCTCTTTTGTAAGCCAAAGCTCATAGGGTAATATATACAAACAAAAGATATTTTGAATAACACCCTTAAGAAAAATGTTTTTACTTTCTAGATGTCACACTTGTAACACCACAGATCGAAATGCCATATGTGTGAATTGCATTAAGAAGTGCCATCAGGGACATGATGTAGAATTTATTAGACATGATAGGTATGTAGCAAACTTGCCTGTTATCACCCAATTATGCCTCCCTCCCCCTCTTGCCTATTCTGTTACCCAATTATTCCCCCCTTCCTAATTTTTCGGTTTTCATTTTGCTTTAGGTTTTTCTGTGACTGTGGTGCTGGAACACTGTCTAATCCCTGTACATTAGCTGGTGAGCCTACACATGATACAGATACACTATATGACTCTGCTCCACCTATAGAATCTAATACATTGCAGCACAACTGAATTCCTTCCTTAAAAGAAAAAGTTCTGCCATTCTAACACCATAACTTAAAACATTTTTGGAAGAAGATTTAGTACTTGCCCATGCTACAGGAAGAGACTGTATTAAAAATGGATACATGAGGTCAGTTGACACTATGAAGCTCAAGCTACCAAAAAGAAAGTGGCAATATATTGACTCAGGATCTCAAAGCTGGGTGTTTTAGCATTACTGTGTAAAGACATTTGAAGGGACAGAAGTGGGGGGGGGAAAGCTGCAATTTTGTACAGATACCAACTTCTGAAAAAAAGCTGGTGTTTTTACAACTAGCATTGAATGCAGTCCAATTTGCAGTAGTACTCTCTTCAATAGACAAGCAGCTTTGTTGCTGCCTTTATGGACATGGGTACCAATTGCTTTTTGTAATATGGTAAAAAATGTGAGCTAGCACTTCCGCGTTACTTTTGATTTTTTTTTTAACATGTATTCAGATTGAGAAATATGATTTTAATGCTTTAATCTCATGTAGTTTGTTTTTTAATTTCAAGCAAAATCTTATTGTACTTGAATGTGCCCTGTTTTGTTAGCACACCTAGACTTGCTGTAACTGTACTCATGTCCCAGTATGTACGTTCTTTCTATGAAAGAGAAAACACTAATCTTAAATTATATCCAGCAATGTTTCTGGTATCCTTTAAGAAAAGTTAAGACTATTATTTCCTTCCCTTCCCTGTGCAGCATTCAAAATCACCCCTAGAAAAGTGAGTGTTTTAATGAGACTTCCTAGGAAGGGATGCACTGTAAAACAAAAGTATTCTTGTAACTCAGTTTTGTGAAAGGTAAAAACTACTATGTTTTAAAGTACACTTTAGAAAGTCTCTTCAAAACAGTCCTGTATTTGAACTTTGTTCATAGGTTTTGTTTTTTTTTTCTTTTTGAACAGTTTAGACAAATGGCTGGAAATTAAAACAATTTCCTGCATTAAGCTGAGACAAGTATATATACAGCCCTATACAGTTTCATAGCTTCCCTCCCCCATTTATGTGTATTGGTGACAGTGGGTATAAACAGCCTGAAAGTGTATGCATGTACCATAACATCTAGACTTAATATATTGTGAAGTATTCAATAACCATTATGTAGAAGGTAGGTAAGAATTAAAAGGGTTTAATTTCCTAGAAAGAAAATGGAAAAATGGTCATTTTTAAAAAATAAAGTTTATTAGATCATAATGTTGTCTGAATTTACCACCTTTGTCAAAAAAACGACCTCAAAGCTTCTGATGTAGACTATAATTCCTCAATCAATGTCAGCAACTTATGGACAGCTTCAGCATCTATAGTTGACCTTTCACTAGCCAGGCAAACTTCCCTTAAAATTAAAAAAAGGGGGGGAAGGGGGGTTAGTTTACATTTTCTACACTGCATCACCCATCCCTCTGTTTTAAAAGTCAGCTGCATGGCAAAATTATATCCAATTATAATTACCGAAATAATCTTAGTGAATGAGTTGTCTTCTCAAATTCTCTTGCTTTTCTATGTCCCTTTTGAATAACTTCCTCTGGAAGATTAGCAAGCCTTGCTGCATTAAAGCCATAGCTTTTAGGACAAGCTCCCTTAATGAATTTATAAAGGAAAGTAATAGTCTCTTGACTGGGATCTTCACATTCATTTTCTACCATGCATGCCTAAAAATGAGAAATATTACATTCACATGCTAGCAATGGAAATATCAAATTTGATTCTCTCAAAAACCTAATCAACTTCTGAATAAGCAGTTTGCACATACCATGTGTCCTAAGCGCACTGCAACGTTTTGAGAATAATCTTCAACTAATGAATGATAGTGGGTAGAAAACAATGTACGACACTTTATATTCTCAGCAAGTTCTTTAACAACTGCACTTGCTATTGCTGTCCCATCAAATGTTGCAGTACCTCTTCCTGTGAAAGTAAAATAAGCATAAATTATGAAGTAATGCAAAAAAAAAAAAAAAAAATACATCAGTTAAAAGTTTTCTTATTTAGGCCCTGTTTAGCCAAATAGGTAGCTTAGCCCTTGGGGAGTGATACTACTCAAGTATCACAAACTTCCTGTTCTCCTTAAATAGCCTCATTATCCCTGTATTACAGCAACTAAATTTGAATAGGATTTAAAAATTTAATAATCAGACTTGAGGGATATCTCATCTTCAGTTGTGGGTCTATTGTACAAAGGTGAGTCCATTAATTTTTTTTTTAAATTAATTTGTTTTAAAGATTGCTTTCAAATGGAAATTTTAATGTCTTACCTAATTCATCCACCAGTACCAGAGAATGTGCTGTTGCATGTGTAAGTATACTGGCAGTTTCACTCAATTCAACAAAAAATGTACTTTCACCTTGAGGGGGAAAAAGTCACAAATGGGTGATCATTTCAAGATAATTCATCTTTTTTTTATATATATTTTATTGATTTTGTTAGAGAGCTAGAAACATCGATGAGAGAGAGTCATCGATCAGCTGCCTCTTGCACACCCCCTACTAGGGATATGCCCATAACCAAGGTACATGCCCTTGACCGGAATCGAACCCAGGGCCCTTCAGTCCCCAAGCCGACGCTCTATCCATTGAGCCAAACCGGTTTCGGCAATAATTCATCTTTTAGATTCGTATTATTCAAATGTATCATGAGCTGTCCAGGTAAATCTCAAGAAATGGAGCAGTTTGTTTCACATAACACCAAAAAATATAAAATAAAACATCAACTAACAAAGCCTTACACAGAAAAAAACAACACCTCACCTGACATTATTCTGTCTGAGGCACCAAGTCTAGTAAACACTCTATCAATTGGTGTAAGCCTACACACTTCAGCAGGAACATAACAACCCATCTGGGCAATTACAGCTAATAGGCCGGCCTGTGAATGAGGGAGGAAAAGGTGTTTTATAACTGGTTTAAAGAATACCGTTAGATAGGCACATAGAGAAACATATCCCTATACACAAAAGACAATAAATCAAGCTAAACATTAATCTTTGCTAAGAAACATGTATAAAAACACTATAAAAAAAGAAAAATCTTCAAAATCCTAAGTAGGAAAAGTGACACCTAGAAGGCAAAAGGTTTAGGGGCCTGACCGACTTTAAAATTTCAGAGCTTTTGTATATTAACCCACAACACTAGTTGATTCTCAACTCTGATGCCTAGCACCAATTCTAAACCAAATTAATTCATTTCAGATGATGGAATCCTCCCTGTATATTTTTGTTCAACTCTGTGATTTATTTTTTTTATTATTATAAATAAAGTGCTTTGGCAACAGACACTAAAATCTGAACAATAGAGAGATTAGCATGGGTATCCAAATTGTCCACATTTTTTTAATGTTGAAAACCACTATACTACACTGTATGTCTCTCTCTATTATACTTTTGTTCACCAGTTAGCAAACCTGGTGAACAAAAGTATAATATAGTACAGGAGAGCTGGAGGGTCAGCAAACATTTCTGTCAAGGGCTCAATGTCTTAGTCACATACTCATTTTTTCTACAACCCATTAAAAATTAAATTATCACATAGGCCAATCCCAAGTATAAAAACAAAAATATATTTATCTTCCCTAAAAACAGTTCCCAACAGTTACTATGTACCAAATTTTATTTGGTTTTCTGTCTGAATAAGTCTGTCATGGTTCTTCTGTAAGAATTTCTATAAGTCTAATTAAAGGGCTTTCCTGAAACATTTGCATAATTTTCATTCATTATATGCATCTACCTACCTTCAGGGGAAATTAAGTCAAAAATTTATAAAGAAATCGTGGCCTGAAATCTCCCTTGCCTTTTTAATATATTCTTTCTTAACATCAGGCAGAAAATGACATTTGATTCATGAGAAAAAGACAATTCTCAATTTTGTAGCAAGAATTTCCCTTTGATTCCTTAAATCACTAATTGAACCCTATGTAATTCATGTGCTATTTGGAAAAGGATGGCCTAAATATGTAATATATTCATTCTTAAACTGTTACAAGTAACTTTCTGTATCAAAACCTTAAGTCAGTTTACCTGTCTCATGAGTGTAGACTTGCCTCCCATGTTAGGTCCAGTAACAAGCACACAAGAAGCTTTGCCATTTTCTTCCCCTTTCTCCTCACAGCCTATTAGAATGTCATTAGGAATAAAGTCATCTCCAAAAAAAGTCTTCGTAATGCAGGGATGGCGGGACCCTTTAAGGTCTAAGAAGATAGGAGTGTCTTCTTTTGGTAATAGAACTACTGGACGACACATAGGACCATCACCCCCTCGACTATAGTTAGCCAAGCACAATAAGACATCTGTCAAAGAGAGAGAGTGAGGTTCATCATTTTTGAGGTTTCTGATAATCAGCCAACTTCTATAAAATGTCTTCCAAAAATGCTTTTTCATTTTTGGTGGTGTGTTCTACTTCCTTCCAGTTTAGATAAACAGTAGTGACATCATTATCACTAACTGCACAATACAGTGCTTTCATTAACTGTTGATGAGTCATTAGCCTAAGTGTTATAGTATGTGGTTTCATTATGGACTTTATAATTCTGAAGCTAAATTATCACTTTTAGGGAGAAGCAGAACATTCTGACATATACAACCAATTTTGAACACCTGTGCCGAGGGAGGATTTTTCTTTTAGTTGATTTTTAGAGAATGGGAGGGAGAGGGAGAGAAACAAACATTAATAGATTGCCTCCCATCCATGATCCTTCAGTGCACAGAACAACAAACACTGCAACAAGCTGAACCACATGGGCTAGGGAAAGGAAGGATTTTAATAATGCCCAACAAACTTTGAACTGTACTGGCTTGAGGAAAAAACTGTAGCACAATACAAAAATATACTATTCCATTCCTGACAGTTGGGTTCAGATCACAATTATGCTACAAATTTAGATAAACTGGTAGCTATATTTTTCAAACACACACACAAAAAAAACCCTAAACTATAAAACACTAGTTTGTCACATACTCAAATAAGTTAGCCATGAAATACAAAGAAAAATTTAT